CCATCTCCATCCCTCGCACTCATCATCTTGCTTTAGGGGATGCTCATCAGTAGGTGATGTCCTCCATACGTGGTGGACCTGCCCCATGCTTGCCAGGTTTTGGTCAAGAGTATTCCGTATGCTAGAAAGACTGTTCTCAATACAGCTCCGCAAGGACCCTTGGCTGGCCTTACTGCACCTTAAATCTCCGCTCCTCACAAAAAGCCAACATCGCCTAGCCACACACGTCCTGCTGGCGGCTAAACAAACTATTGCCTCGGCGTGGAAGCAGCAATTTGTACCCTTTGGGGAAGTCACGCGGCGTATGGATTTTTTTCTGCTTAAACGAGAAGCTGACTAGCATCCTCGCAGACACCAACAAATCTATCACTAGGATCTGGCAACCATGGGTAGATTATGCCCATCCCTCCTTGGCCTCAACAAGTCTCTCAGCCCTTTAGGTTCCCGAGTCAAAAAGGCCCACTCAGGACGAACCCAGTGCCCCCCCCCCCCACTCCCCCCCTTCCTTCCTTCTTTCTCCAACCCCCCCATTCACCCACAAGTTTACGCCATCAGACAAAAATCGCCGTTTCCTTGTTTCTATGATATGTATGTATGCATCTCATTGCTGATCACTGTGTCTTGTATCCTATATGCCGCTGAAAACTTAATAAAAACTTTTAAACGAAAAAAAGTTGACAGGGTTGCTAACCATTCACCATGCTATCCAAAAATAAAAAAAGTTTTAGCTGAAGTTCCAGCTTAAGACACATTACTAGCATTACATAAATCAGTTGATATTGTATTCTTTTTCAATATAGTTAAACTCCAATATTGCATACAACCTGGTCCGTAGTGAAATTGTGAAGTCTACCTCAATCGGTATAGCATAGGATAAATTGAGTTTGAGGACACATGACAGCATTTGCCTTATTATTTGTTGCTCATAATAAAACTGTTTTATAGTCTTAATCAGGAACTCAAACCATAAACTACTAGAAATGATCTCTGCTGAATAGCATACAGGTAATATTATAATGCAATAAACAGGTTGTGTACAAAATGTAACAGGATTATAAATCTTTCTTTCTTTCTTTTGGAAGTTTAGAGAGGGAAACAACTTTAATTAACTGTCACAATAGTTGTTGGTTTATGTTAACTCCAATTTTAGTGGGAAACCATAGGCTTATTCAAATAAATAAAGTTCCATAAAATAAATATTGTACAGAAATACTCTAAAGCCTTGGTTCTCAACTGGTAAATCGTGACCCAAAAGTGGGTCGCGACCCTGTGTTCAGTGAGTCCCCATGTGCCTTCCACTGTTCTAGATGAGAGGCTCCTCAGAGTCCATCTAGCACAGCACTGTTAGTTCTCACACCAAGCTGTCATTCAAAATATGCTGCCCGGTGCCGAGTGTCAGCTTGAGGTGGGGTGGGCTCCATCCATAAGTGCATTGCTTATAGCTCCCTTGTATGTCTTGTAGAGTTGCCTGGACTGATGTAACATTCTGGCTTCCGGCACCTCTAAAGGGTGTGCAAGGGAGCTGTACAAGCAATGCAGATATGGATGGAGCTCCATCACAGTAGCCTACACCAAACCCCAGGCTGAGGTTCTCATAAGATAGGGAGACTGGGTGCATCTTAAAAAAAGAACACAAATGACATTTTTTTGGGAATGTGTATGTGTGTGCATGAGAATGTGTCTGTGGTTGTGTGTGTCTGTCAATGTTTTTGAGGGCCCATTCACACTAGTACATTGCATTAATCGCACGGTAGAACGCAATCACACCTACCACGCGTTCTGTTGTGAGAAGTGCATTGCATTGCCATTCATTTGAATGGCACCCCAAACGTACCCCCCACCCACAGTTTTATTGCCCGCATCGGAACATGCAGTACTGCAATGCCATGTGTTCCATTGCACTGCAACTTGGGTCATGACCTAATGACGAAGGAAAAAGGTGGATCCTCAGGAACACAGGTTGAGAACCACTGCTCTAAAGTATGACTATTTTAGTTAACATGACACTTTTTTTGTACATGAACAAAGGACTTACTAATTAGGGCCAGTCTTGTGTTGTAAAATTAGATATTTATTCAGTTACTGAAAATTACATCTAAAATGACAATTTAAGAGGGAAAAAAAGAAGGTTGCCTTCCATCTTTTAAAATAGATTTTCATTGATGTTCAATGACACTTTAATGTCATGACAGACTAAAGAAAGGTAAAATAAATTAGAAAGGTACATTACTTTATATCTTTACACATGTTAAGAGCTTATTTGGTATTACAGACACATTTAATTACATGATTTATCATTGAGGGGGTTTAAAGGTTTAGAATTTACATTTATTTCAAGCAGCTTATCAGAATTTAATTTAGTCTGAAGGAAAAAAAAAAGAGACATTGGCAGAAAAATTGGGAGATAAACAATAGTTGGCAAGACTGCAAATTGAGTCTCCATGTAATAAAAAGTTGGGGTTATAAAATAGGAATAGGAATTGAGCAAGGTTAACCATATTTTATTGAACTTAGACAATGTTTTTTGTAAAATATGATCAGCTAGAAGGAAAAGGTATCTTTACATGTTTCATCATTTATGCTTATCAAGCTTTTTAAAACAATAAATAACTATTAGCGATGGACCAATCAGTTAGTACAAAAAAACAAGATTTAGAATCCATAGGAAATGTAAATGGTAATATAGTAGATAGGTTGCTTTAATTTTAACATGTGTTTAGAATTGTCCTTGCTAAACACATTTTCATGAATGAGGGAAAATAAAGTGCTTGTAGGAGAAGAGCCCGGTCATGTGACTGACCTCTTCTCTTATCACAGAGTGTTCTCTACAGCATTATGCAGAGAACACATGGCAGGACACTGCAGCTTTCACACTATGGCCTGCATTTTACTGCAGGGGCAGTGTTAAGTAAACACTGCAGTATCCAGGAAAGAGCACAGTGATATCCACTTTCCATTTCAAATAGGCCTGTGCTTGTTTGATGTCTAGACCAAGGATTCTCCATGCTTGCCTATAAAGAACCAGAGAATCCTAACACTCCATGAACGTTCGACAGGAAAGCCGAAGGCAGCCAAGTAAATAACCGAGCTGAAGCTAAGTGAGCTAAACGCTGTTCAGCTGTTCACTTCAGCCTTGTACGGCTGATTTCAGCCGTACATCGGCTAAAATCAGTCTTACATCGTCTAAAATCAGCCGTACATCAGCTGCCTTTCGTCAGCTGAACATGCTATGCCCAGCTGTCATTTGCATGGAGATCGGTCGGCTTCAGCCGACCTTTCTCTACGCTTGGGTATTACTACGGCTCAGCCAAGCCGAAGCATATGCGTAAGGCTCGGCTGCCTTTGGCTGCTGTACGGGCTATTGTGAATAGCCCATACAGCAGCCCTTCAGTTCGACTGAACCAAAGGGCAGTGGTGGCCAAATTGAACCTAAGGATCAGCCGAAGCTTAGGCTGGATCCTTTGGCTCTTTAGTGAATAACCCCCATTCTGTTGGATGTTCTTTTCATCGACATATCTTTTTCTAAGCTATCAATATCCTAATCTCAAGTTTTATTAGAGAAGAATACTAAAATGGCCTTGCAGTTTATCAGTCAAAGTGATAAACATTGGATGGAGTACATGTATACATGATGTACAGCAAATTAATAAAAATGTTATACTTGGAGATGACCTAGTCATGCACTGTCCCAGACAATCAAATCTAGATAAAAAGGATGAAATATGTTATAAGGTCTACTGCAGAGTACAAACAGAATTCTCCAAAACATTAATTTATCACTGTTTTGTTTAAAAGTCAGTTAAGCTTTCAAAGAGACTTTATTATTGCTGTATGCAAGTTTTATATAGATAAGATTTGTGAATGAGGTCACAACTCAACATCAACACTATAAATAGAGGAACCTTTCAATGCATTTTAAGTGTGCCAACTATATATTTGTCAGTGTTAAATATGACTGTTCCCTGAAAGCAAGACTTTTACGTCATATTTATTTGTACAGTGATATATAACAGACTCTGGATCTTTTAAGGCAATCATTAAACTTAATTAATAGGTCATGATTTCAAATGATCTGCTGTATAATGGACTTAAAAGAATGTAACTGCATTCGGCAGTATTTTTTTTTCCTATCAGGGTTAAAGAATTGTACATATTATAGAGAAAACATTCAGAAACATTTATATGTTTAGTTTCAGGTCATGAATGTTAAAAACAGAATACTATTTTTTTTTTTTATTACAGAAAGGCTTTTAAAAAAAATAATAATATGCAAAGGAAGCATCCATGTAAAAATGGCTCAAAGTTAATAAGAAAGAAAAATAACAAACCATGTATGCCAATAACTAAATGTGTCCTACATTTCTTGGTTAGCAAGTCACCTTATCTACAATATCAATAAAAAAGGGGTACATCCTCAAATAAGGCTTATTTATTAAATGCGGCACTAGCAACAACTTTCAATGAGGGTAAATTTTAAAGGAGAAATAGGCTCTTCACTTTGCAAGGACATTTTCACTTTAAACAGGGAATTTCTCTTTCACTTAGTGATATAAAGCTCTGCTGACTTCCAAGCAAAACATTGTTTTTAAGTTTCCTTCCACGTTATTGGGTAGTCTTTTTTTACATTTTCTTTTCCTCTTCTGTCCATCTCTGGACATATGTGACTAAAACAAGAAACATGAAAATATCTCTCCTTTCCCTTGTTTGATATCTTATAGTTAAAATGTATACACTTAACATCATTTAAGTGTGCCTACGGAAGCATGATGTCTAAATATAACCCCGCTAAGTATTAGCGGCAAATGAAAATCAAGTAAAACAATAATGTTTTACTCTAACTATAATCATTGTGAACCTAGAGACCAAACTGGATATATTGATTGGCCTAATATATCCCTGGTCAGTAATAAGTATGTCTATCTTTCATTTGCTTTACATTTAATTCAGCCCCACTCTGGTGGAAGAAAAAGACGCGAGTTAAAAGAAAATTGCAAACATACCTCAAGAGCACATCCTTTGGTTAATCCTATGTATTCAGAGCTGCTAAGTAAATTGTATGGTGTTCTGGAGATCTCAATGTCTTTTAGGCATCCAGCATATTTATTTAAACTGACCTCTGACCTAAAGAAAAAATAAACATTATAATTATGTTGTACAAAGCAAGCAGTACCAAAATCATTATGTATTTGAGCATTTGTCACCTCTGTTATTCAAAAATTGGAATACTCATTTCCTGTGCATGACAAAACTGCCTAGTCTTGAATGAAGTGAGCATATGGTTAGTTGCCTGACTGTCAGCTGATACTTTTTCTTCAAAACTTGCTTATTCATCTTGGTGATGGATGCCGGCAGAGAGAGGAGGGGACGATCACCCGGCGGGATGAGGTATACCACCGGGTCCCCTCCTCGCTCCTGACATGGTCAGGCTCTCGGTCCATGACTTTTTAGAGGGGGTGACCCCCGAATTTTTAGAGGGGGTGACACCAAAATGACTGTCAGTCATTTTGGTGTCACCCCTGCTATGGTGTCATCCGGGTGCGAGCCGCACACCCCTTGTGACGCCACTGGTTATACCTGTACTTATATAGATTAAGGGAATAGTACAATTAAAAAAAAAACAATATAGCTTTGAAAGCCTATGTTAGGGCACAGCTCCTCCCAGCTTAAAGTCATTCAAACAATATGAAGCAATAGAAACACGCTAGGTTGAGTTCAAACGTCTTTATTCCATGAGGAATGTCTGATGATCACTTCACCTGGGACTCTCACCTGCTGATGTGTTATGTCCAACAAGGGCTTAATGATAGAGGTTGATCTTTGATTAGGCCCTTGTTAGGCTAAATGCATCAGAGAATGAAAATTCCTGGTGGGGTGATCAACTGACGTTTCCACGTGTAATAAAAATGTTTAAACTAAACCAGGTATACAGGGTTTGCTACAGAATGTTTGGAGATAAAAATATACAGAATGTACTTTGGACTTTTTATTTTAATGTAATATCTTAGATACACCTCCTATGTCTCCTGATCAAGCAGATCTATGATCTGAGAAACACAATGAGAATTATCCTCATCCCACTGTAAGGATCAACCAAAAATAAACAGAAATAATATTTCTATGTATAATTAGCAAGATATCATAGTTAGCTGAGCAGTGGGTTTTGTGGTTATTATGTAATGTAATGCATTGGGAAATCAATATGTATAATTACATGAACTTCATTTATTTGTTTTTTTTTATATGGAAATTTAAGATGTGTTAGTAATACAAAATCTTTTTTGGTATTTTTTAGTTTATGAAATTCATATGGCGTCCTGTGTACATATGTTACTCAATGTAATATTGTGTTTAGGGATCTGGTGCCTAAACAACACTACCAGTCTAATTTGTTTTTGTATTCTACACCACAATTTGTTTGTAATACACTAATAAACTTTCAATCAAAGCTGAGATTCTTACTGTTCCTTGTAGTACTAATGGCCATTTTGGTAGTGAAGTATATGGTAAGCAAATATCTCTTACAATGTAGCCTTTAACTTGTAGGTTTATTTCTCCAAAGGATTTCATGCAGTAAAGATTCACAGGGCTGTTCACAAAAGGATGAAGAGTCTAGAGAAGGCAGAAGTGAACAATCTAGGCCAAAATAGCTGATTTGGAAAACATCTCCAATTCATCTCACTTTGCAGTTCAGCTATGTTGTCCTAGATTGTTCACTTCTCCAGCCTTCTCCAAACTCTTCACCCTTTTGTGAACAGCCCTGTCAATGTTAATCAAATCAAAGAAAGTCAAAGTTTTTCAACCCTTATCATAGAGGAACAATTCAATTTTCATTTAATAAAACAAGCAGCAGAACATAGTGTGTATCAGCATAGAAACATATTCATATCTAAAACTATTTTGACTTGCCTTCCTTAGTTAAATAAATTGAGAGTTCTCTGTTTTTTAACATTGAGATTTATTTTTCTAGAAAGATTGTAGAGGTTGTTTTTTGCCTTCCTCTGGATCAAACACATTGAACTCACACTTAAAATCAGAGGATAAACTTGATGGACCCGTGTCTTCCTTCAACCCTTATCAACTATGTAAAATGCTAGCAACAGATAATGTAATTTATTTCCACATGTAAAATAATCAGGATCTTTTGCATACCATTTTTAAGAGGCTGAAAACACACTAACAGTTTCTGTGCCTAGATAGTTTACATCTCATGTTTTCTTAAAGGAGAACTATGGGGAGAGCAAAATATACTCTTCCAAATAGTTTGAACGGGTGTGTTACACTGCAGCTGTCACATGCCAGCTTTATAGATCAAAAGATGAGCGATCACAAACCACTGATTGCACAGCTCATGGCTTCTCCCTGCAGAGAGTGGTGACTAGTGTTGGGCTCGATGTTCGAGTCGAACAAGAGTTCGACTCAAACATCGCTAGTTTGTGTGTTCGGCGTGTTCATGTGTTCGCACCGCACAGTGCCATGATTGGCTAAAGCATTGCACCTGACCTCAGGTGAGCCATGAAGACCCATGATTGGGCAAAGTAATGATGACTTTTCCCAATCATGGCTCACCTGTCAGGTGCCGTACAACTGTAAACAGCTGGGCGGAGCTAGCTGTCACTGCTAGCCCCGCCCATTATGTTTATATTTTGCTGTCATCTGTCAGAATGCCATTATGTGGTGTGAGCTTGTCACGAGCTGACGAGTCGGAGTGTGTTGTTTTTTAAGTTATTTCTATTTATTTTTTATTTTGTCTCGTTGCCGTGCACAACGCTGAACTTTGTGATTGATGCTGGATTACTTAGGTGGATCAATTTTTTTTTGGGGGGGGGGGTTACAATAAAAGAATTGTCAAAATCCTTTGTTGCGTTTTTATTTCAATTAAAGGATTTTCCCCTAATAGTCTGGACTTTTTATTTATCTTTTATTTAAGCCTTTAGTGAATGGGTAGGGGTGCAAGTACCCCTTACTCATTCACAAGGGAGGGGGGCACATCTGGGTGCAACCCCACCACCAATGCCCCAGGGCTTGTGGGGAAGAAGCCCTTGTCCCCATCGGCACAGGGACAAGGTGCTTTTCCAGGGGTGACCCTGGAAAAGCACCCTCCAGTGCCGAGGGCATGTCCCCCCTTTTCCTGCCCTGCCAGGCCTGTGCTCGAATCAAGGGTCTGGTTTGGGGATTTTAGGGGGAACCCACAGTCTTTTCCCCCAATTTTCCACACTGCAGAAATACAGTTAAGAAGCTGTAGCCACAAGAGGCCTAGGCACCCTCACATATCAGGAACTGCACTACTATTTTTTTAGAAGAAATTCCAGACAAAAGGTTCCCTGTAACACTGAGAAGAGTGATCACTGCTCTCGATCACTGAAGTGGGCACATGGTAGTGACAGCTCCTCCTCAGCCGCTGCAGCCACAGAGTGGCTGAGGAGAGAAGAATCTGTTCAGCTGTCACTACTATGTGCCTGCTTCAGTGTTCGGGCTGCTCAGTGGCTACCTGCAGCTTCCTCCGCCCACTTCAGCTGCAATAGGAGGAAGACTGCAGGATCACTATTGGCTGGAGACTATAGGAGAGCAGGTCCTGGCTAGGGAGAAGACACAAGGAGGCAGCTGGGGCCTTCAACTTAGTAAATGCAGGAAACATGGCTGCACCCCCCTCCACCTGGAGAGAAGGAGGGCAGAGCACCTGAATCACATTTGTGTGCACTGTAAGTTCTTGTTCTTTCTGCGTTACTTTTGCTGACCTCTGTACTGTGTATCACACCCTGACCTCTGCACCGTGCGTCACACTCTGACCTCTGTACTGTGCGTCACACCCTGGCCTCTGCACTGTGCGTTGCACCCTGACCTCTGCACTGTGTGTCGCACCCTGGCCCCTGCACTGTGCATCACACCCTGACCCCTGCACTGTGCGTCACAACCTGACCCCTGCACTGTGCGTCGCAACCTGACCCCTGCACTGTGCATCACACCCAGACCTCTGCACTGTGCATCACACCCAGACCTCTGCACTGTGCATCACACCCAGACCTCTGCACTCTGCATCACACCTTGACCTCTGTACTCTGCGTCACACCCTAACCTCTGCACTGTGTGTCAAACCCTAACCTCTGCACTGAACATCACACCCTGACTTCTGTACTCTGCATCACACCTAACCTCTGTACCCTGTGTCACACCCTGACCTCTGCGGTGTCACACCGCTTAGCTCTGTACTCTGCGTCACACTGCTGAGCTCTGCACTTTGCGTCACACTGCTGAGCTCTGTACTCTTTGTTACACTGCTGACCTCTGTACTCTGTGTTACACCGCTGACTTCTGCACTCTGCATTACAATAGTGTAGTGGGGCCAATGAGATTCACTTCCGCTCCCCCCCTTTGGGAGCAGGAAGGGGGGGCCCCGAGAAAAAGTCTTGCACCAGGGCCCTATGTTCCTTAGGTCCGCCATTGGGCAACAGAGTTTTAAAAACGCAGTAGTTGCTTAAATACTGTCTAAAATTTAAAGTCGGCAATGCAAGCACAAATACCATCAGTTCTATTTCTTTTTGGTTTATTGCTAAGCTATTGTTTTATATTTCTAAAACACCAAATGATTCTGAGCAAAGGACAAAGGACACATATAAAACTTGTTATTTCTTAAGCAGCATGGCGCCACTTCATAAAATGAACCTGTCACATAAATTTATTTTATTTGACAGAACTATTTATTTTGTGTATGACAGAACAATAAATTGAACCATAGTAAAATACACTGACAAAAAGATATTGTTCTTTTTATCATTACTGTTCCAGTGTCACCTTTAAGATATCAATTGATTCTGTATCTGCCAAAACAATTGTTTTAGCTCTGCTCATTTCTGAGTTTCCAGAAAACAAAAACCATTCAGCCAAAATGTAAATTTATTTTAGGTGTACATTATTCTATAAGCTTTTAATATTCTTGCCCATTAATAGTAAAGTAATTAGACTCTGATAGAAGCAGCCAACTAATGCAGCACATACTAAATTTGTTCTGTGTTAGTAAAACTAAACCAATTCACTGAAGCATTGGCCTAATACTAGTATGTAGCACACAAATAGGCTGTTTCCAGAACACCCTAATTACCTAGGTGATTTCATTTACCAGAACA